AAGTGGAGGAAGTTAAACAAAAAAGTAACTTTCAAGAAGAATTGAAATAAATGATCGTTTTACATTCATTCATTCATTCATTCATTCATTCATTCATTCATTCATTCATTCATTCTTCATTCATCCATTGATTTATAAACCATCACTTCCTTATCCATAATATATCAAAGTATCATTGGTTAGTTGCAATGTGGCAATTTGATGCAATAATTTGGCAACAAATGTGGGAAAAAAAAGGAGAGTGATCTTATATAATCATAATTATTGGAAATAAATTTGAAATTATCCATGTGAAATTGAAATGTTCCACTTTGAGCGATTATTTTCTTAATAAGCAATGAGAAAAAGGTAAAAAGTAAGAAAATTACTTTTCTTCACTTAAAAAGAAAGAAAAGTTTTTAAAAAAAGAAATGGAAAAGATGGGAAAATAAAATTTGCTAAATTTTAATTTTAATCGTAGAAATGAGAAAATCGCTGATATTATTATATCGCTGATATTCATTTTTTTCACGATTAAATGAAATGATTCATTTTAATCAAACAATTATAATTATTATGAAAGAAGAATCATGATAATTTTATCGATCAGTGATAAATGATATGATTAAATTTACATATTATTTATCATTAGAAGAAAAACTGAGAGGATCAAACGTTGATTGTATAATATAGGGTTGTTAGAATTGCAAGAATTTTAATTTTGATTTTAAAATAGTTGGAAAATAGTTGAATTCAAATGTCATTTTATCTATTGATATTTTTAAAAATGAAATCGGGAAAAAATATTTTCGAATAATTTAAATTTATGAATTATTTATTGTTCGATTGAAATTTTTAATTAAAATTTATATCCCCACTTAAATTTAGTCGGAAAGAATGAAAAAATAGAAGTATTTCAAATGACTGTCATGACGATGAAATGTATCAAATATATTATTGCAAATATATTGATGAATCACCTGAAAGGTGTCAGTTTCTGAATAACAATTACCGAAAATATTTTATTCCATGCTTTTTTTAATTTTAGAAGAAAAAAGATTTTGAATGTTGCATTTTCAGCAGGAAAAAAGTTGATTCAGAATCCGTCGAAAAATTCATTTCATTACGCTTTCTTAATTTCTTAATAGAATTAAACGAAAAATGAATTATATGATGTTTATATGATAAAATTGTATATGTGATAAAATTATATATATGTGATAAAAATTATATATATGTGATGCATATATGATAAAATTATATATATGATAAAATATTAATATAAAATTTCCAAAAATATTTTAATCTTCGAATATAATAAAATCTTTGTTAAAAATAGCAAAAATTTGCAGAAAATTATTTTCAGATTTTCATTTCTTCTCTTTTTTCCTTTAATAATTTGCAAAATATAATTTAATAAATTTTGCTAATGCTAATATAAAGCAATATTAGAAGGAATATCGCAAGTAAATAATAACAATGATGATAAAATAGATTTTGAATGAGGTCAATAATTAATGACAGTTAGATCATTCGCGCAAAATTTTCCGCATAATACATCGACGGAAATCAATTTATTAATGATATACAATTGTGCAAATTAACAGTTGATGTGTTAAAAAATGTGGAAAAATTAAGATAAAAATGGGCTATAGATAAGAATGTTTTTACTACATTCTTGTGAGTTTTGTCCATCGGATACTCATTCAACAATTCTCTCCTCTTTTTTCCAATCCATCTTATTCCGCAAATCAATTCAAACTTCAAATTTCTCTTTTGTTTTTTTTGTTGTTCTAATTTTTTTCATATACTGTTTGATTTCCGGAATAAGATGAATGAGAAGGGAAAAAGAGAAGAGAAATTGTTGGATGTAATGTTAGATCGAATTTTAAATTTTCAAGTTTTTTAGTTAACATTTTTCAAAATCATCGATGATAATTAATATTAGTTTCCATTAAATATTAAAATATCAGTTAAGTGATATATTTGTTTTGATGTGTTTAAAATTTCTGAATATTTTAAAGAGTATAATAAAAAAGTTGGAAAAGAAATTTTTTAAATATGAATTATCAATAATATATCCTAGAAGTATTTGGAAGAAAAAATTATATTCAATTATTAGTAGCGAAGATTTCAGGGAGCAATGATAATAGGTGCATTTTATCAACATTCCTGATAATTACTGGCTAATGCTGAGATATCATAACGTCGATCAATTTCGTATTTCAATCCAAATTTTAATCTAATAAAATGAAATATTGATTTATTCATTTCACACTTAAAATAAGTCTTAAAAGGTAATAAAAGCATTCCTTAAAAAAAATTAAAAATTAGCATATCTCATCTTCAGCTGTCATTTATGTTGCATTTCTAATTTCATTTATCAAAATCATAAATATGGTTTTTTTGTCAGATAAGTGTGAAGTGCTTTTGATCGTTTATTTGGAAGATCGAATGAGATCAATCGATTATGATCAGTTTAGTTGCAAAAAATATATATTTGAAAAGTGTAAACAATGAAAAGGAAGCAAAGTATTTCCAGGAGAAAAAGAAAATGAAGTGAAGTGATTTGATTTATAAGGAAAAATATGAATTCATTTTTCTGTTTTATAAATTTTCGATGAGACAAAAAATAATCTTTTAATTACTCTCTTAATTATCTCATTTTTTGCTTACATATAATTTTCTCCTTAGTGATTCATTAAATTATATCATTTCCTATGTATTGTTTCATTCAAAAAATTTCAACTTAACATCACAAAGTTTTCTCTCTAAAAATTTGTCAAAGAAAATTTGCAAAAATTAATGTAATATAATAATAATAGTAGCAAACAAAAATTCATAAATTAGATATATATCAAAAAATAGCAATATTAATTGATTTTAGATAATGATTTAAAATTCAACAAAATGATTCATATTATTATGCAAAAATATCGGCGCAAATCGATTAATCATAGATGCTTCGTTAAAATTATATTTCATTTCAAGTTAGGAATTATCAGCTTAAGTTAAGAGTTATTAGCTTAAGTTAAGAATTATCAACTTAAACTTAGATCAACTTAAATCATTACAATTCGTAATTTTCATAATCATTTAATTTATTCCTAAAATTAATCAACATTGCTGTTTTTTCTTTGATATGTGTTTAACTTGTGAATTTTGGTTTACGAATTGTAATGATAGTATTTTAATTAATGAAATTCTTTGATAGAAATTTTTAGCGCAAATAATTGTTAAAAATATGAAATAATTATTCAAAGAGTTTTATCGATAGTTTACACTTTACTCTGTTCAATCATATTTGTTCAGAATTTATGGGAAGAAAGAAATGATTTTTGTTACTCTTTAATAATTATATTTGTATGAATAAATATATATGCGAGCGATATTTCTTCATTTAAGTTCAAATTTTGCAACAATGTTGCAATTTTTAATTCAACATTAATTACATATACTTTTAAAATATTTACTATGTTAAGCAATTTCTATGCGAGTTATTGAAAGTGCTAAAATTTCAACTTTCTTCGTCTAACATTCATGTAAAATTCAGTGAGATTTTAATTGCTAAGATTAAATGCTGTAAATTATTGATAGAATGATTAGCGAAATAAATTGAATAGATTGGTGTAAACTGATACTACGATAGTAATGAGAAATTCTTCTGATTCAAAAGTTTCGATAGATTTCTTTTCAAACAAATTAACAAATAATATTGATCGAAGAAACAGAAAAGACTTGTTAACGTCAGATAATCGGATTAAATCCGATACAACAGAATTTGATTCCACGAAATTAAGAAAAAATGATGGAAATTTATCAAAATAACTTGATCAACAAGAAAAAGTCTGCTCATTTATCAGTAATATTGTTTGATCAATTGATATTTATCACTAAAAGATTGGAACAAATAGTGTCATCAATTCGATACACAATGTTAAAAATTTCGTTGATATAATTATAGCCTTAAATTTTTGAACTGAGAAGTAAAAGATAATGAGAGTTTTGAAAAAGAAAATATTATAGGGAGATAGAGAACGTTTATTTTCATCCTCATCAATTAAGTTAAAATGATATTGATGCAGGAATGAGTTCAAATCAGAAATTCATCCGTGATAATATGAAATGAAGTGATACTTTCAAATCATACAATTTATTAAGTTTGAAATAAAATCTCTTGGGAACTTGTAAAAATTTTGTGGATTGATATAAATCGTATAATTAAGTTTTGAATTTCAAAATTATTACTTTGACGTTGTGATTTAATATTGACACTTTTTTCAAATGACAATTCATTCTTTCTTTGTTTTATATTTTAATTAAAGAATCTAATCAGTATGGTATCACATAACGTATATGTTACATGACCGGATTGATAAAATTCATCAATCCTTAAATTCATCATTGCATACTAAAACCGTACTATCATATCACTGTTCCGTTTAACCGTACTATCACTGTTCCGTTAAATCTTATGAATACGATTATAAACGATTACCATCCTTACAGCCAGTAAATGGGAATATTCAAGTCTACTACAGCTTGTTTTTTTGTTTGGAAAGAATGAAATTGAATCAGAAAAGTGATCTTTTAATCCACTTAAAATAAAATCAATTTTTCAAATTTAAATGAGACACAAAGATTATATATTCTTTCATATTAAAATCATAACCTTACTTTTCAACGAAACAAATTGTGGAACTTTCAAATATTTCTTACAACAATAATTTCAACATCAATTTTGCTGATAACAATACATTTGAAGAATAACTTCTTAAATAAAGTTTAAAATTTGTTTATAACTTATCTTGAAGGAAATCAAAAAAGCACCCAACAATTTCTCCCGTTTTCTTCCATTTATTTTAGAACATTAAATTCTCAAACAAAAAAAATTATTTATAACCGTAAAAATTTAAAAATTTCGCCAATAAGGAATCATATTCGGAAAATTAAATAATGTTGATTTGAGCATTTCAAAAATTCACCAGTAGTTGCACAACGCAAAAGAATAGTAATAGTAATTATAATGTAAGAGTCGAATAATGAAGGGATCGCATCTCTGGCAAAGAATAAATGGAAGTTGTGGGCGGCAATAAATGGATACTGGATGGAAAACATCCGAAGTATGGATGCATCATCGCTCCGTTTGCTGATATACGATCCGTTGGATTCAACTTAAATACATTTCCAACAATTAAATTAAAAAACTAGTTAGAAATGAAAAACGAGAATAATTTAAAAAAGTGATTCATTATATCCAAAAATAATAACTCTGATAGACTGTACCTGTAGAAAATGTGATAATAGTGATTGGCCATTTTTCAATCTTACTAAAGATTTGTGTATCTCACTCCACGATAATTCCCGATATGGTGGATAAAAGCTGGGTGAATAATGCGGTAGCTTAAGTACTTCGGGCCATTTTTTCGGATCAGGAATACCTAAAAAGGGCGTTTGCTAGTAGAATAATCAAATTACTTTGAAATATTCTTCGTCAGATTTCTCACCTCTAATACTAAATATTCGATTCAATTGATCGCCAATATCTGTTGTTCCCGGAAAAAGAGCTACACCTGTACACATTTCAGCAAATATACATCCAACACCCCTGAAATATTTACAACTTATACTAAATAGCTGGTAATGAGCAATAGCAAAATAAAATCAAAGTTTCTTTATGTTTTAATAAACTGAAAGAACTAGGAAGAGAAAAAAAAGCGAACCACAAATCAAGAGATGTCGAATAGTCCGTTGAACCAAGCAACACATCCGGTGGTCGATACCTGAATAAAAGTCTTACTCATTTCATATCCTAATATATCTCATCAATTATCGATTTGATCATGCATTTAAATTATTCAAACAGTTATAATAAAATGCTGAATTGCGATGCTAAATCACAGCAGCGAATAGTACTAGAATGATACAGTTTATGAAAAATAAACATCTTAGACTGGTCAGCCTGATAAATGAATTAAACAATGAAGAGAATGAAATCAGAATTACTGCAAACATTATAATAAGATCAATGCTTGTTAAGTATTTATCATTAAAATTTGTTTGAACAACTTTAAAATTTTATAAAACGACAAAGTTATCAACGTACAATTTAAAAATAATACTAACCATAATGTTACTACTTCATGTGAATAGGTTCGACTTGGCACTGATTTTGCACGAGCTAGGCCAAAGTCAGCCAATTTCAACTCACCATTACTATTTAATAACAGATTTTGCGGTTTTAGATCTCTAAAATTGATTAAAATAGGATAGAGTAGAATTAATTTCACGATTAAGGAATTGAAAATTACATGAAAAGTTTGTCCGGAAATTTCAATTTTTTCAGGAAATTTACATGTTCAGGAAAAGGCATATCAAATTCGATAGAAAAAAAAGAAAAAAATTTTTGGATTTTTAATAATTAAAATAAATTGTTAACCGTACCGATGCAAAATTTTCTTAGCATGACAAAATGCAAGACCACGAAGTAATTGAAATAAGAATAATCGAACTTGCATCTGTTCTAATCCAGTACTATGCAGTTCCAGATATTTACTCAAATCTGTTTTCTGTAAATGTAAAATAATTCTTCAACTGATATACGCATAATAGAATTCATTTAATGGAATATTTGAATTTAATTTGTCCAATTAAGTAAACACATATCATACATAAAGTAATGATATGAATCAATTATATACTATTAGCTTTAATGATTGTATCGTTCACTAAAATTAGGATGACTAATAAGGGCCTTACTTCATATTATGATTTATTTACTATTTGATGACCGGATAAGTTGGTTCAAAAAAAATATTTTACTCAATTGAAATTCCTTCTTTGGTAGATTGCACTCCCACTTAGTGACAAAATTTTCATCCATAAATTGCACATTTCAAAATGTGTTTATGCTTAATTTTCATCTAATAAAATGCTACCATTCTTCATTATCTCCAGAATAAACTCAACCGAAGTTTTATTTATTAATTTAGATTAATTTAACTTCCCGAACAAAAAAAAATTGTGAATGAGTTTACCATATATTCGAAAACAAAAACCAATGAATTCTGTTCGTGCACAATATCATGTAATGTTACAATATTGGAATGTCGTAAAGCACGCAGTAATGATGCTAAAATAATGAATGCTATGAAAAAAGTTAATCGTCCCGATGATAAGAAATCATTAAGACTTTTCGATTAATTTAGCACCCTTTTGAGATAATACACTATCATTGTACTATTATCACTTTCCTTCCTTTCTCTTCCTTTTCCTTTCACTTCTCTCAATTTTTAAGAAAAGATAGAGAGATTTGCAAATGTCAAATTATTTCCATGACAAAAAATAATTAGGGAAAATGAATTTTTTTAAGAATTCAATTCATTTAAAAATAAAGCAAAAATTCATTTCAGTCGTAAGTAATCAAAAATTTCCATTAATTATTCAGCAAATAAGATAAAAGTGATTGGAAGCACATTGTGAAGAAATGAAATGGTACTGCCATTCCTTACATTTCAACTGTCATCGCTGTTTGATTAATTTTTAAATTACATAGCAAAAAAATGGTGAAGATAAAATTTTCGATCAAATGATAAATAACATTTTATCTGACCTTCTCGTATAGCGGTGAATGGTAATCCTTCTTGATTATGAATTTTAATTTCTTTCAGAGCAACAATACTGCCATCACTTCTGCAATTGCGTATGTTTTAGCTTGGAAATAACTATAATGAATCTAATTTTTTAATTAAATCCTTGCATTTTTATTTGGATATATTAATCTAAATTTATGTTTTAGCTTGGAAATAATGTTTTAACTTGAAAAATTTTAACTTAAATAATTATTCCACTTTAATTCAAAGTTTTCTTTTTTTATTACTTGGCAACAAAAATGATCCACATAAACCATCAATACTTACTTGCTTTCGCATTTGTAAACGACAGCATAGCTACCTTCACCTAATTTCTCAATTCGCCTATATAATTCGCTGATATCCTGTACCGGCACTTCCTGGAAATATATTCTTCTGTAACAGGTTAAAAATAAGGAAAACTATTTTAATTGCGAAAAATTTTGCTATGTAGAATTAATTATGAAAACTGAATTTTTTAATATTATTTTATTCATGATAGTAATTGAATCGATTTTTAGATTGAAATAAATGATTAAAATTAGAAATCTCCTTCAGAAGGCTAACCATAGCATTCACATATCACAAATTTCCTTCAGAAAGCTAACTTCAGCCATGTCAAATATGCAATACGTTGAGTTTTCGGCAGCTTATAGCAGCATGTTTGACTTGGATTTGAAAATTTGTCTAAAACAAATATTATTGAAAGCATACCCTAGGCGGAAAAACTAAAGTATTCGGATCCAAATGTGCTGATCGAGGCCTTCGGCGACGAATAACCGATGAACTACGCTTTTCTTCCATTGAGCTTAACGTGGATCTAAAATATTTCTAGAAATCGCAAAAAAATTTTTCTGAAATCATAGAATTTTGGTAAAAATCTTTTAGAACATTTTCATGAAACTATTGTATCTTCCATTGAGGATTTTAAAAACAAATATTTTTCTAGAAGAAAAATATTGAAGCAATAAGCAAAAAAATTGTTACTGCAAAAGAAGATAAACGGTAAGGTATCAAAGTTTAAAAATTTGTCAACAAAAAAAAGGGTACCGAGGATCAGAAGTGGATGATGAACAACAAGGATCTGGACAAGCGGAAACAATGCAATTATTAGTACCCGAACGCGATCGTGTCGTTCGAAATAAGTTGAATAAACTTCTAAAAAAAAATAAACATATTACAATAAATATTATCACTTGTTACAATCATATAGTCCTATCAAACGGACATACAGATAAGCATTGTCACCATCAACGCTTTTCATCAAATATCGTCAACACCTAAATTGTCAAATGGCAATTATCATTATCTTAAATGCTATCATCACTAACACCATCTTCGCACTATATTTTTTGACTGTTCTCTACTAGAGGTGCATTACTATCCGATCAAAAATTTCGAAACACTATCGCTGTCAGAAATGGCAATGTATTTTTCAATTGAATGAAGAAAAAGATATAAATGGTAAAAAAGCAGGGAAATTTGAATTGAAAAAAATGTAGAAATATTTATTGTTTGTAAAATCTATGAAATATTTTATGAAAGAATTTAAGGTAACATTGAATGAGTGAATTGGAATGGCGCAAATTATATTTAATATGCAAATTTTTTTTACTAATGTTCATCTTAATAGTTATAATTTTTAAGCTCCAAAGTCTTCAAATAATAAGCAAAAATATTAATGACAGTAAGATAGTATGAAAATATGTATAAAAAATTCTCATTTTAGTTTTAGTATTAAGATGAAATTTCAATCTATTTGAAGTGCTTATTTTTAATTTTGATCAATTGTACTTTGGTTTATTTTTGAATGATAGTAAAAGTTATTGATTTTATCGAATTACTTTACAGTTAATTATAAATGATTACCTTGATGAACTTAAATTAGACAATTGCCATGATTGTGCCATATCATTATTTCTCAGAGTGGATGAAATTGGTGGTTGTGATGAATTGTTATTATTCTTTGATTGTTCTTTATCAGGATGCTTTTTATAGGCGCTAAAAGCGCTACCACAAAATTTTCCCTTATCAGTATCATTATCACTTGTTCGACTATCTTTTTTATTATACTTTTCACGTTTTCTTGATTTTCTAAAAGAAATAAAATTTATATAATATCGAATGATTTTTATTTTTGATCCACTTTTATCCATCACTGAATTCTCAAATATTTCATTTTAGCACTGATGAAAACGGAAAATTTACATTTTCAAATATGTAAAATTAAAAAATTGAATACATCCAACTATGTTTGAATAACTCTAATAAATTTTTTAATTTCAGTTCATTCATTTTAATTTGAAGCACTTAAAATGTATTTAATATATTTTTAGATATGAAAATAATTACGATTATGTAAAAGGAAAATCGATCCGCTGAATTGATCTATTATATCACTTATAAATCTACTGGATATGCATTATAATTAAATACCTACGAAAATAGATAAAATAGTACCTATAAAAAATAGGATGATATAAATATTTGAAACTTTATCGATAACGATCATCGGAAAATTTTCGTATATAAAAGAAAAAGATGAAAAATGACCTGAGATTGAAAAATATTGTAAATTTTCGAGATGTAGGTGGTGTAACATGTAACACAACACGATGTAAATTATCAGAACTTCTCGAATTCTTTACAATTGACAAATGTCGATGATTGAGGACCGATAATGAACAACTCTCTCGAAGTTGTGTTTTTCGAGTATCATCATGGTCACGGTCTACATGCGCTAACCATAATCCTGAAATTTAATCATTTCAATTTGATCGATAGATTTTAATCCTTTACAGTATATTACTATAATCTTATTATATGCTAATATAATCATTTAATAAATACTGTAATTTATTTAGTTTAAATAATTTGCGAGTAATTCGATCTAATCTTTTTCTCTCCCTTACGATTAATATTTTCTATTTCTCTCATTTCTTTTTTCTCATTCATTCAATAAATAAAATGAAAAATCTGGAAAATTTTACTGTAAAAAATGAAAATGAATTTTAAATTCTAGAGAGAATGCCACAATAATTTGCAGTTCTCGGTAATCTCCCCCGGGAGATCGAAGTAATCCTTTGTGTACAAAAAAAAGAAATTCTCATCGAATTTTACTGTTGTTAAGAGAAATAAATTAGCAATCAAAATGATTTAAAAAGTATTCCTATTTGCAATTTAAAAAATATCTCATTTTATCCATTTTTTTTCATCAAATTAAAATCGTTGATAATTTACATATGGGTAGGATTACATAGAACAGGAAAAGAGAAGGAGAGAGAGAAAGAGAGAATTTATCAAATATTAATTTTAGTAAAAGTCATCCATCATTTCATATCACTCTTATTAACAGTTCCAGAGAAATGTTACTTGATAAACTTCATTTACTGCCCCTAATAATAATAATATTTAGACTGTCAATTAGATTCAGTTCAATTAATTCCTCATTTTCATTTGTTTAATTTTCTGAAATTAAAAGTTCGAAATGAAATTTTTCTTTATTCCATTTGCAATTATCATTTTTCTTATATTTATTATAAAATATTTCAGCAAAGTGAATACAAATAAATCATTGTAAAAAAGAAATACTTTTAATATTATTTATTAGATTATTGATATGTATAAAAAAATAAATAAATAAACAAACCAATATGAGAGGTCAATTTACTCCACATAATGTCTTCTGTTCATAAAAGAAAATTGATAAGAGTGATGAAGCGATGATTTGGTTCGAATTTTGACTGATAAAAAGACGTAGTTGACCATCTAACTTGCTATCCAATGCCATTTCTGTTGATTAAATGAGCATGAATTTACATAAAATATATCTTAACCTGAAAGAGCAGCGTAATAAGAAGAATCACAGTTGACAGATAAATAAAATTGAATTAACGAAATATGCGAAAGCGAATAAGTAAGAATTGATTGAGTGATAAATTAAAGCAGAATAGCATTGATATTGAATTTAACAGAAGAAGCTATCGGGATATTACATATTTTAAGTGGATTATTTAATGATGAAGCGATCAGTTTAAATTATCGGATAACTAATGAATCAAATTATTCGTCATTTAAGAGGCATTTAATTATCATAAATTAAAGCAATTTTCAAAACTTGGATTCCTAAATTATTTATGAAAATATTTTCTATAAATTCCTTTACTAATTGCATTGTTATATTATTTGAATACAAAAATGAAAATTTAATTTGAGGTATAATTTTATTATTCAGTAGTGACAGCTATGGAAAGATAAGAAATCATTTCTTAAAAAAATCACAATTAAAATAATGAATTGAAAAAGTAAGTTGTTATCATTAATTCTTATGCTAATTATAATTCTCATTATTTTTTTAAGATCTAATCAAAGTGATAATTTATATAAATAATTCAAAACTTAAAATGAAACATTGCAACAAACAATTTCAGTATTTCATTTCTTGCAATTATTTTATTTATATTCACAATTTCATTCAAAAAGAAAAATCGTTCATCAGAAAAATTCTGAAATTTTGATTAAATTTATTTGTAAAAAGTAATTAAGTATAGAATATGCAGCAATGATTTATTTATTCTTCACAAAATTTAAATTGAAATTAGAATTTCTTTTCTTTAATTAATATTGGAAATTAATTTTGAAGTTCTTTTTTCCTTTCGCACATTAAAGAAAGCTCTTCTAGCAATTTAACATCTTTTCACTGATTGTATACGGTAAAGCTTTTAAAGTTTGATAAGCTTACATAATTATTGCTTGCAACAATCGTTTAATTATTGTCGAATACTTTCAAGCGAACTAAATATTAACAAATGTTCTGTTGAAGATATCCAACGTTAGGAATGAGAGAGTATCAGATGATAAGATATGAATATGCAAATGGAAAGGATAATAAAGATGTGCTTCAATAATTATTTAGCAAAAATTTCAAATCAATACTACAAATTTTTAGAAGGTTAAATTTGAATTGACCAATTATTATCACGAAAAAAAATCATCCTAAAAACGATTAATTTATTGTTTGTATTAGACAGATAATTTTGAAGTTGTAAAGTAAACAGTTAAGAATATAACATTGTGAGAATAACCATTAAAACTAAGCAATTAAAAACTAATGAAAAGTTAATAAGCAGCTGAATTAAAATGAAAATAATACTGTAGGCTTATTTAAGGCTTTTGCATTCTAGTCTCATAACCTTATTATCATCATTATCATCGTCATCATCATCATCTTTCATTAAAACCATTAAAAAATTATAGATCTATCAGCAGCGATTCTATGCGGATGAGGGATAATATATTCTTCACCAGAGGAATTANATACTGTAGGCTTATTTAAGGCTTTTGCATTCTAGTCTCATAACCTTATTATCATCATTATCATCGTCATCATCATCATCTTTCATTAAAACCATTAAAAAATTATAGATCTATCAGCAGCGATTCTATGCGGATGAGGGATAATATATTCTTCACCAGAGGAATTATTATTAAAAGAGAACAAAAGTTCCTTTTTTTAGAACGATAAAAGAGTACAATAAAAAGGAAGAAAAGAAAAAAAGACTATCATAATATCAATTTCAAAAAGAAAAAAAGACATTAAAAAGTTACTGTAAAATAAGATAGAATGAAAAAGTAATCCATCTAAAATTAAATATTTGAAAAGAATTAAATTTCTAAAATTATTATTATTAATTATTGTTTAATAAAATATAATAATTTTAAATAATATGGATTGGATTAAAAAGGATGAAAGATTGGAAGGCGAATAATATGTGTAGCTGGCAATAATATGTGTTTATACGAGTGAAATTTTATCAGATGGAAAGAAACTAAAAATATTGATAGCTAAGCTTTCTCTTAAGCCAATTGTAAAAGTGCAACAAAAGCGTCATTGAACATTAAAGGAAAAATGATGATGATGATGATGATGATGATAGCCTTTCTATCCATATGTATGCAAGATTTGAATTTAATTCTTATCATTAACCTAGCTTAGCATGTATTATTATTTATTATTATTATTATTAGTATTATCATTATTATTAATAGTTATTTATTATTAGTCATTATTATTATTAATTATTATTAATATTGTCATTATTATTATTAATATTATTACCATTATTGTCATTTTTATTATCATTATCATTATCGTTATTATTAAATTAAAAAATTGATGAGATATTATTAAAAATAAAATCAATAAACAAACAATCTTGTTTTTCTTCTTTTTTAAACTTAACAAAAGAAAAAAGAAGATAACGCGACAGTTGGAAAAGTTAATAAATCTAAATAAGGCATTACAATTTTCAACAAAACTGTCAATTAGACGATAGAATTATTGAAAAGTTTGTGAGACTGTTGAAAGAAGAAGAAGAAGAATGAATGAAATCTTTCAATGATAATTCCAAAATAACTGATTTTTGTTATATTTAATGAACAAAATATTAATTATCAGAAAGAGTTAATTATCATTAAGTATAAATAAATAAATATCGATTAATTACCATTAAGTATAAATAAATATTGATTAAATTAAGTAATTAAAGCATAAATATAAATTAAGTGTAAATAAATATTGATTAATTATCACTTAATTATCATTAAGTATAAATAAATATTGAGGAAAAAGATTATCAAAACTAAAACATTCAATAAATGAAGTTACCGAAGAAGAAGAAGAAGAAGACGAAGAAGAAGAAGAAGTATTTATAAACATTACGATGAAATCAACATTTTCCCCTCCTCTTCATCTCTTTTCAATTTTCCTCTTTTCCTCAATTTTCCTTTCTTCCTTTCACCTCAAACTTTGAAATGAATGAAAATGAACATATGAAATTGAAATAACATCACATACACATACATACATCAATGATCTTTACATTCATTCCTATTTTAGCAAACTACCGCCAATACCATTATTGCCATTTTATTCAACGCAACAGATATTTGCACATACAACAAACAGGAAGATGGGAAGTCCTTGAAAGGAAGAAAGAAAATAACCTATCAATGATTTAATTCACCTCAAAGATTCTCTCTCTCTCTCTTAGAAGATAGGATATAACATATGTTTTGAGATATAAACGATCTTTTAATTTTAATTAACTAAAAAAGGTGAATATAGTTTATGAAAGCTTTTTAAGTATGATTTAGACACATACATATATGCCTAAACTAATATGAAATGGATCAATTCGTATGATTTAAGGATTATTATCGATTTTGAGCTTTTCTATGCTTTCGAATAAAGCAGCTAGCAGCAATGATAGCAATGCCAATCTCTAGAGAGATATGCTTCATTTATCGATCGATTATTGATTATCGGTTCGAATCATTTCTGATTATTACTATTTATTGATAAATATAAAATTTTTGATATATTTCATTCCTCATTTTATACATATTGATAATTAGTTTATTCTATTAATTATAATTTATTTCATTTATTTAAATTTTTTTCAACTAAACAAAACATTTGTTTTTCCGTAAATATTTTAATGAATAGTTTCATTTGATTTAAATTACAAATTAATTAATTATTTGAGTTCACTTTCATCGTTCTCATTTTATTTATTATAATTTTCAATGAAAAAGAACGAAATTTTTCTTTCTATCTTTCAATACCTATTTTCATTCATTGGCGAAACATTCCATCATATTTGCCTAATAGAAATTTTCCCACTTTGTTCATTTTGTACTATTCAATCTTCAAGGATGAATGAGCAATCGGATTTCATAACATTTTAATTTCGGGTAATCTACCTCGGTATTCGGGTTTATAATTGAGTAGCTAAAGTATGTTGAAAAAAAACCTTATCATACAGTTAAGTTATCTGTTGATCAGTTCTGATCTTCTCTTTTCTTCCACTTCTTTTTTCCTTTCACAGTAAATAGATTTCGACAACATCTTCCGTATATTTCTATTCCTCATCAATGCATCATTGTTCCGGAATAACAAGAAACCCTCTCACCATCTTTCATTGCTTCTGATAGGATTACCACTATTAATTTATCTTGAATTAATACTCATTCCATCCTTCACATTCAGAATCCTATCTTAGGTGAATTTTACCTATTTCATTTTTTCCAAAATATAATTGAGCACATTTTGCTACTCTTTTATTACATCAACCCTTTTTCATTTCTTTTTGATATTACTGATAAAGTGTAAGGCGGTATATTTGGGCGCTAATATTACATATACAATCGAACTATTATAATAAATAGTATAACGCAATAATTAATCTAAATAAATAATTATGATAGAGTATTTCAGTTGAAAGAAGAAATTAGCATAAAATTAGAAGACTGAAAAATTTTCAATTATTCAATAGGCCCATTGAAGTTTTTGCTCGAATTTATAAAGTTCAAAAGAAGAAAGGAAAAAATCATAAATGCTAACTAATGGAATATCTCATCTCATAAGATTGGACTAATTTAGGAATAGCAAAAGAATAAACTAATTCATTGCAATAAATCGATGATTCATTCCAAATTCCAAATTCAAAAAACGAAAAAAATGTGGCAAGAAAGAAATCAATACAAAAATTTTAATTAGTTAAAAAAAAAGCTGTCAAATGAGAGGAGAAGCATTTAATCATAGAATATTTGCCAGCACATTCCTGAAATTAAACTATATTAGATAGATATCACATCATCATAAAATAAGCCAATA